AATTAAATCAGTACTAAATTGATCTTGAGATCATTAAATCATTACTAAATCGATCTTGAGAGATACAGATTATAGCTTGAGATAATTAAATCAGTACTAAATTGATCTTGAGATCATTAAATCATTACAAATTGATCTTGAGAGATACAGATTATAGCTTGAGATCATTAAATCATTTCTAAATCGATCTTGAGAGATACAGATTAGAACTTGAGATCATTAAATCAGTACTAACTCTCCAGTAAAGGTAACTTTCCGTGTGACAAATTAAGAAATATCTTGTCGATTTTCTCGTTATCAGCGGACATGTTTTTCTGTTCTGAGTAGAACTAGTCTTAGCTAATAACACTATAGTTCCCAATGAGTCGGTAGTAAGTTATAGATGTGCAGAACACAAATATCCAATTGTGTAGCTTTGCACTAAAGAAACAAATGTGTGCCTTGCATTTTAACTTTATTTTTTACATAATTCCGTTTAATCTTGTAATATTGGCTTATGCTACAATGCTTTTATTTGTACTATTATGGTTCCTTAGTTGCAAAACAACATTATTGTGATGTAATGTTGTTGTGTAATCATTAGGTTCACCAGTTTTCTTTTTCGTATCATTATGTATTGCCTCTCAAAATAACAAACTTTCTTTCCACTTATGCTGAACTCACTGATTTGAATACTTTTCTATTTTCCTTCGTTCCCATTACTTTTGTGACAGGTACTGCGGGAATTTCCAGATGAGCTTCGAGGAGACGTTTCCATGCACCTTAATAGAGAGATTCTTACCCTCCCAATATTTGAGACGGCTCCCCAGGGTTGTCTGAAACAGCTGTCTCGTCACATCAAGAGTAATTTCTGTGCACCCGGTGAATACCTAGTGCACGCAGGAGATGCTTTAGGTTATATATATTTTGTTTGCAACGGTTCAATGGAGGTATTACAGACCAGCATGGTGGTTGCCATTTTGGGTAAGTGAAGACACGTTGTTTCTATAATGCTCACCAAAGAACAATAATCGCTGAAGTAGGCTAACTTACCACAGGCTAGGGATTTCTTAATGAAGGAAAACGTAAGTTTTATAAGTAAACAAAAACACTGATTGCTTGCATCATGTCTTGATCATTAAGATTGAAAGTCCTCTAAGGGGGTTACATTAAGTACTTTCCCAGAGCCTATCCGTCCCACATCCCTATGTTTACTGAAAACCAATATCATAGATTGCTATAATACTATTATTGTTTGAGGCTGAAATTAAAAGCTAGTTTTTTTTTATGTCACAGTTTTTATTGAAAAATATAAAAATATTACTGTCGTCTTTATTTTTCTTATTTCAATTTACTTTTGTTTGCCCGAGGGAGCTTGGCATGACGTAACGATGACGCAAACAACATCTAGAAGCGTACTTTAGTACGTAGAAAAATATAGCACATAAAAAATGGCAGACTGGGTGAGTTAGGTGTATTGTGGTACTGTATTGGTCATTTAAAAAGTGTATTGTGGTACTATATTGGTCGTTTAAAAAGTGTATTGTGGTACTATATTGGTCATTTAAAAAGTGTATTGTAGTACTCTATTGGTCGTTTAAAAAGTGTATTGTGGTACTATATTGGTCGTTTAAAAAGTGTATTGTGGTACTATATTGGTCGTTTAAAAAGTGTATTGTGGTACCCTATTGTCGTTTAAGAAGTGTATTGTGGTACTATAGTGGTCGGTTAAAAAGTGTATTGTAGTACTGTATTGGTCGTTTAAAAAGTGTATTGTGGTACTATATTGGTCGTTTAACAAGTGTATTATAGTACTGTATTGGTCGTTTAAAAAGTGTATTGTAGTACTATATTGGTCGTTTAAAAAGTGTATTGTAGTACTATATTGGTCGTTTAAAAAGTGTATTGTGGTACTATGTTGGTCGTTTAAAAAGTGTATTGTGGTACCCTATTGGTCGTTTAAAAAGTGTATTGTGGTACTGTATTGGTCGTTTAAAAAGTGTATTGTGGTACTGTATTGGTCGTTTAAAAAGTGTATTGTGGTACTATATTGGTCGTTTAAAAAGTGTATTGTGGTACTATATTGGTCGTTTAAAAAGTGTATTGTGGTACTCTATTGGTCGGTTAAAAAGTGTATTGTGGTACTGTATTGGTCAGTAATACATGCTTGGACAGTTGTTATGTTAGTTTCCTAGTTACTAGAATGGTAATACCCGACACCTACCTTTTTTTGTCGATACAGGAAAAGGAGATCTTGTTGGATGTGACATCGCAGCCAATCTAAGTGAAACTGTAATCAAATCCAGTAGTGACGTAAAGGCCCTAACCTATTGCGATTTAAAATGCATTTATATGCCTGGCTTGATGGAAGTACTAAAACTCTATCCAGAATTTGCTGAAACCTTCTGTCACGATATCTTACACGATCTCACTTTCAACCTCAGAGAAGGCTATGAAAACGAGGTATGTTTTTTGTGTCTCAGTTTACTGAGTGTTGGTCTACAAATAAAACGTTTGTTTCTTGGTTTTAGATATTTTGTGCATGGCTACACAAAGGACTATCTTCATATAGCCGTACCTAATTTTGAATTGACAGACTAGAGAGAAGGCAGCTAGTCAACAGCACCCACAGCCAACTCTTGGGCTACACATTTATGGCTCCATTGTGCAAAGTTACCAATTTTATCTGCCGCATTCCCTAATTTTTAACCAATTAGATTAGAGGGAAAGCAGCGCCCTACCACCCACCATACATACTAAGGAATGGACTGTCCACTATTATAATGCACCCACAACTTAAGGTGCGGGGAATATCTAGTCATGTCGCACGGATTTGAAACTGGCTCGCTAGCCCCAAAATTCAGAGCTCTATCAAAGAGTCAGTTTTTGCCCCGATGAAGAAATAATTTCACAATGATATTATTCGTAATGAAGGTAAAATACACAAGATTATTTTTATAAATCAGTTTGCCCTAGAAGAAGAAAGGTGGGCCAGTTTGCCCCCAAAAGAAGAAAGGGCCGCCTTTCGAAAGGTGGGCCAGTTTGCCCCCAAAAGAAGAAAGGGCCGCCTTTCGAAAGGTGGGCCAGTTTGCCCCAGAAAAAGAAAGGGCAACATTTCGAAAAACTTTCGTCTTATAAGGTATCATATAGGCCAGGCATGGCCAGGTGGTTAGGGCACTCGACTCGCGATCTGAGGGTCGCGGGTTCGAATCCCCGTCAGTCCTACTCCCATACGAAACTACTAGGTATCATATAGCAAGGTAGAAATTGTAAACTGACAAGAAGTCAAGCCCTATCAATAAATACCCTCCGGAAATATCATACCTTACTGTTAAATCTATCCAATCAAAGTTCAATGTACCCTTGCGCTGTAGTTTCAATGCATTCATTGTAGTTGACGTACCTGATGATGCCAAGGTTAACCTGGTGAAACGTTGTACTTTCATTAAATTTTACACTGTTTATTCGATTTATCAAGTTTACTTTTAATTACTTCCTTTCATCGTAATACACGTTATCTTTTCCCACTCAAAATTCAGCAAAAGACAAGAATACCAATATGATCTATATCTCTGATTGGAACCTGTAAAAAAAGTACCTGTGAACCAGATCACATGTAAATACGGCGGAATAATTGTGAAAAAAAAAACCCTAAAATTATGTTTTTGGGGGCATCTTGACCCCTGTCTCTATAATTACCAAAAATTGGCAAGTCCAGCATTGTAAATTGGTCGAAACAAGGTTATGTAACTGACCAAAAAGTATTGATTTATTTGACTTTATTACCCTCCCTAAATTGACCAAAACTGAGCATATCCCACATTTCTGTATGTATGTGTATGGGACTTGTAAAAAAAAAAGTATCTATGTATCAAATTTCGTGTAAATTGGCTGAAATACGGCGGAGTAATTGTCAAAAAAAACTCCAAAATTATGCTTTTTGTGGCATCTTGACCCCTATAATTACTAAAAATAGGCAAGTCCGCCTTTTTTGTTTTTCAAAGAATGAGACCTTTAGAAAAGTATCTTTGTACCAAATCTCATGGTAAATTGGTCAAAATACGGCCGATTAATTGACCAAAAACCCACAAATTATGTTGTTTTTTGTGATATCTGGCCCCCTTAAAAAAAAAAGACTTAAAATGGGCAGAGCCAACTTTTTTGTGTCAGTGTGCTAGGCGCACAAAAATTTATATTTTTGCCAATTTTCGTCTTGATTGCTGTAAATATGGACGCACAGGAGCCCAAAATATACATTGTTGGGTCGTTTTACCTTTGATCCAATAAAATCCTTAAAAAAAAGGTGTAAATCAAAAAAAATTAAAAAAGTCATCTGGTTGTATTGGACCAAGGTATAGCTCAAGAAAGTTTCAAGTCAATCCGCCGAGAAATGGAGGAATGGTGGTCCATTGAAAAGTGTTTGGAAGAAGAAAGAAAGAAAAAGAAACAATAGAAAATGAGTATAAAAGTAAGTCTCTCTGCGAATACATAATAATATGTCAACAACATCATATTTGACACATCCATTGCCGACTAAGTCTTTCATCTAATAGTGGGGCTCATCAGCCAGGCTTGAATACGACAGACATAGTACTAGTAAAAATGTTGTATATATCATCAATTGCATGAACAATAGCCCCCACCTCCAGCAGCACATCATACAACTCCAAACAACGGGTGGTGGAGACAGCACTGATAGCCTACTGTGTAGCCTTGTGCTTAAATAAAAAAAAAACATGAACATTTACTGGTATATGTTCACTATTGACAGTCAAAATATTTGGGGCAAAGGTCAGGAGTTCAAAATAATTCGGTAAAAAAGATCATTTGTGTATCTACTAATCTTCTAATATTCGTTTTACTATGGTGTTTTAAAATCTCAGTAAACAATGATGTTCGGGAGTGGCTTACTGGCTAACATACTCATACCGTGAATAAGAAGATTATCGACGCGTTGCCGAAAAAAACGCACTCCGCAATGGGCGCACTATAAGTGTGACAAAAATAGCCTAAGAGTTGGCGCTGAGCGCTTTCCCTCTGGTCCATATTTTCAAAGATAAGGACAGCCAAGCGCAGATAACCCTTTCTGTAGCCTTGCGGGAAAATTCTAGCATCAAAAAAAATTAAATAATTATAGTCGTTTCGATTTGTGTATATATATATATACTCTAATAATATTGTATAAATGGTTATTGATTTAGAGATATTCAAACTTGTTTCTTTACAAACAGCAAGAAGAAAACAATGGGATTCATTCCCTTATACTTCCGTCCATATCTGAGGACGATGAAGTTGATGATGATAGCGCTGGTACGGCAGCAGTCTCACCTTTGATGTCCCCAGTTCCATTAGTCACATCTTCAGTTAAAGGGACAAACCGATTTGTAGGGTTAGGGTAAGTTTCTAAGAAAACAAAACTTTTTCTAACGACGAAGTCAGTCTTTCATATTAACACCAACAATTTAGACGTTCTTATATTCAAAACACAATCTCTACATATCTACACGCTGTTATGTCGACAGAAGAGGTCTAATTATAACCGATTGTTTTAAAATCATTACCATCTTTTTTTTAATTTAGTAATAAAAGAATCATGGGATTAATTAAGATTGCCTTTATCGTACATGGGAAGGTCTTTCAGATTTCTGTATAGCAGTTCGAATGGATAATGAAAATTGTCCAAAATGTGAAGCTGAGCAAATTAACTAACAATTTTTCTGATAGTTTTGATCCTGATAATTTGATTGTGAACCTCACTAATATTACACTAAGTAACCAATGTAAATCTGCCCTAGCTAAAGGACTTAATTTCTCTCTTCCTCCGCGAAAACTGAATTATGCCAATTTTCTTTATCCATTTAAGCTGCTATACAGAAATCTGAAAGACCTTCCCATGTACGATAAAGGCAATCTTAATCAATCCCATGATTTTTTCATTACCATCTTAGTTTCGAAGCGTTGGTAGATTATTTTTAAAACCATGAATGAAAAATAACTCCGTAAAAAGCTTGGCCTCTCGTGGAAAATTTCTTCTGTGTATAAAATAGCTTACCAAATATTAATCGGTTGTTAACGGAATAAAGCAGTAAAATGTTAAAGGCGTATTGGTAATTTGTTGTTGTTTTTTAATTTCGCGCAAAGCTACACGAGGGCTATTTGCGCTAGCCGTCCCTAAT